CTTTCAATTTAGGGTATATTGTATTAATATATTGAGAGCCTTCCTTAAGAATTTCTTTAGGAATATGTTGTATAACTAATGATAATATAGATTTTAAGGCTATTAGAAAAATATAATCTACAATCATGATTAGCGATGCTGGGGGTTCTGCTTTTTTACGAGACTTGGAAGTAGGGGGTTCCTTCCTGTAAGTCTTTTTTATAGGTACTGCACTTCATACCACTTTTTTTTATAGCATAGCAGTTTCGGTCAGAGGTATTTAGAATAAATTCATCATCATCAACATATTCGACATCTTCTTCTACTTCTTCCTCAAGTATGTATTCTATTTCAGGTTCTTCGAGAACTTTCTCCTCAAGTATGTATTCTATTTCAGGCTCTTCAGAATCATCAGGGGGTTCTCTTGTTATCGGATCTTTCTTAGAATTTTGGTATACATAATTAACCTTTTTAGTTGTCTTAACTTCAGGACAATTAGTCTTTATATGACCAGCTTTTCTACAGACTGAGCAAAGACAAACAAATCGTTTAACTGGTGCTTTTTGTTTTACCTTTCTAACAACTTTCTTTGTAGCATTTGTATTTTTAACCTCTAACTCTGAGAAGGGGCTCCTTCTATTATATGCTGATGTTTTAGGCTCTAACCTTCTTGTAAGATCGTTATAAATATATAGATGTAAAGTATCAACATCTGTTGCTATTCTTGTATAATCTAAATCCTTTGCCAATTCCTTTGTAAATTCAAGTGCTTTAATTCCTTTAGCTAATAAATCTTTTTGCAGATGAATAGTTAAGGCCTGGTTGGGAATGGAATTTGGGATTGCATACCTATATTTGTCTGAGTAAAAGTACTTACTCTGACTTGACGTTCGACCCAACATTTTTTAAGATTTTGAAAGAAATCATCTACAGTTGGATTTACACCTCCTCCTGCTCTTATAGCCATATACATTTTTATATTACTACGAAGATCTGGAGGTAAATGGGTATATAATGCTGGTAATACTTGATTATCAGCAAAACCTACTATATGTTTTCGTACCCTAGCTTCATAACTGTCTGGGGAATCTGTTGTATCGAACCTTTCTTGTATAAGTGATTGTAAAGCTATTTCCTCATTTCCAGTTGTTACTTCACGATATTTATGCCGAAGCCAAACAGTAAATGTTGCAGGTGTATTAATAGCGGTATTAGTAGCTGTATAGGGATCATTTGCCGGTACTGGGGAAAATTTATCTTCCATCTTAAATTTTAAAATATCACATTTCTCTGCATCAATAAAAGTATTTGCATTAGTAATATTGGCGGTCGTGATTACAGCCCTGGCAGATTCAAAAACATTTGTACCTTTTTGAATGTATTCATCTGGAGTATATTGCCCTGTATATTGGGAAATTTGTCCAAGAGCTGGAGCTAACATTTAATATATTTCATGTATGGTGGCCATTCTTCTTAGAGGATTGTTTTGTAAATTCAAAATATTTTGTCTCGAATTTATTTCTCGAGTTTTCCATTTTTGATATCGATTAAATACCCAAGCCCTATTGAATTCTGCTAAGTCAGCCTCAGCCTTGTGTCTTCGATTTATTAGTCGAAGGCCTACCTTTTCTTGTAATAATATATGGTTACGCCTTTCTGCTCTCTGAGTTCTAAACCACCATACACGACG